CATTAGGAACACACCTCTTATAATAAGATCAATTTTAAAAATTATGTTTAGTTAATTTTTTTTTTGCTACTAATTATGTTTAGTTAATGCTTTGATTCCTTGAGATTCCAACTCTATCCTCCATTCTTTTAACATGTAATCCAATGGTTCATATCATGCCTTTTCGGCTTCATCATCAATCGAATAAGAGCGAAGTGAATTGGGGTATGTGACATTCATGCCACTTTTGAGATGTTCAAGATATGATGCTTTCATATTTCTTAACGAGTACAAGTGTATTAGTTAGAAGCATCTTATTATTTCTATGTCATTTTTTTGGTTCATAATTATAACGAACAACTTTACTTGTTTGTTCTTCGTACTAACGTGAGTTACTTGTAATTGTTTGTGTTATATATAAAAAAAAACTTACATAATAAAATAAAACAATTTCTTTGCAAAAGTTGATTTAGCTCATATTTCTCAATGAGCACAAGTGTATCACTTAGAAATATCTTAAAATGATTGTACCACTTTTTAGTTCATAATCATAATGAAAAGGTTTAGTTGTTTGCTTTTCCTAATGAAATGATTATGGAGATATAGGAAAGAGAAGGAAGGTTTATGGAGAAGACTTGTTGCAGTGAAAAATGACTATGATTTGCATGCCTTGTTACCCAAAGACTCGTAAATACTCTAAAATATGAAAAAATATAGTTTCTCATCTATTGCCTACTAACAAATTTTTCATGCAAATTAAAGCTAATTTGGGAGCTATTTGAGAGAATATACTTTGGGTGAGGGTTTCAAGGATGGAATTACATGGAAGGCTACGCCAAGCATCATGTTCTCTTCGAAGTCCTTTTATAAATTGCTTCGAATTCATATATTTGAATGTGATGAACTTTGGAGAAGAATATGGCTTGGGTTCACTTCATATAGGGTTGAGATTTCTGTATGACAATTGATGTGAGAAAAAATTATAGTCAAAACAGAGTTGTTGAAACAACAGTTAATTAGTGATGATCAAGCTAATTGTGTGTTATGTGCTAATTGGTTTGAATTTGTTACTCTATCTATTTTTTCATGTCATGAGTCTTGGAAATTGTGGTGTTTCTGGTTCTTTGATTCGGGATTAAGTTGGTTATCGCGTTGCTGTCCAAAATTTTGTTTTGTCTAGCTTGGATAATTATGGGGTTTAATGATGAAAAGAGGAAAATATGGATGATGGCGTTGTATGCTATATCTCGGTTTATATGGTTATTTTGAAATGATATTGTATTTAATGGAAAAGAATGGGATATTAGACAAGTTTATGATATTGTAAAATTGAAGCATTTTACAAAACACTAGTGGTGAAATACTCGTGAAAATTTTCTAAAAATGTGGAAGAATATGACGCCAATCATGTAGAGATTTTGGTCATTCGTGAAGTTTTTTCACTATTCGTCATATATTTCAAAAACTCACAAGTTAAATTGTGGGTTGAAAGTGATTCACTGAGTGAAGTAGGATTTGGTTGATTTGAAATTCATAGCTGATTATTTTTGGATCAGAGACACATACATGGTTACGAATTATTCCCATGGACAACATTTGAGACTAGATTTGATGTCCAAGCATAGACATTTTTTATTGTCCTAGGTTGGATTTATCCCAGCAGACTCCAAAGTTTAGTTTGTGCCTTTGAATTGACAATAAGATGTTTTGAGAAATGATGATTTTGGACAGTGTTTTATTAAAGGGATTTCACATTTATACATGGTGTGGATATCTTTGTGAGCAGATATTTCACTAATGCTTGGATATCCCTACATCCATGCTTCTTGGTCCTAAGGTTTATGCATTTTATTTATTCATTTATGTATTTCAATTTCGTTATATCAATAAGACTAAAGTATTTTTTTTTTTGGGCATCTAACAATAAAATTACGTAATTCTAAAAAAAAAAAAAGTAATCAATGTTAAGGGTTAAATATTTTTTAGAAAATTGTGAGAAATAACCCTCTTCATAAGCCTAATTCAAAAATGACACTCACAATAATTTTAATTGTTTTTACTCAATTTTTGACATGATTTAACAATAATGCCCTTTAAACAATTTTAGACAAAGTAAATAGTCCCGATTTTCTTTATCTTGCCATCTAGAAAAAAAATTCTAAAATTACTGTATATCTAGCTACTCACCATCCTAAATTTTGTCACTTGTCAAATACTGTTTATCTCACCATCTAGCTTTCTCTCACCATCGTAAAAAGCAGAGATTACATCAAAATATGTTTTTTGGGTTATTGGATTTATTGGTTTATATTCATAAAATAGAATCCCAAAGTCAAGAGCTTGAAATATATTAAACATGTTTGTAAATTAAATATCTGTATGACCTTGGCAATTTAAACTTGGCTACTGCGAGTAGGCAAATCAATTAGTTATTAACCATTGCATTACTGGTTTTTAAGCATTGAGTCACTAGTTTCTAGGCGTAAGAGAAAGTAAGGTTTTTAGGCATTGGTGGTAACATTTGTAAGTATTGCGAGATTGGTGTTTAGGCATTGTATCACTAGCTTATAAACATTGCGAGACAGGCTTTCAAGTATAACATAACTAGGTTGTAAGCATTGCTTGATTGGGTTGTAGAGATTACATGATTGGGTTATAAGGATTGTGAGACTGACTTGATGACATTGCGTGATTAGTTTATTAGACATTGCTTTACAAATTGATTGAAGCTTATGATGATAATTTTTTTTTTGATAAATTGATCGATTGTGACACTTATTTCTTATTAAATTTCAATAACATATCAAATGTTAAGCTTATGATTATGTATAGTGGTCATTAGTCAAGTATGCAAAAAATATGAAAGTGAATTGAAATTTAAGTAAAGATTTTATTTACGAATAGTATTGATCTTTTTTCATTCAAAAATAATAATAAAAAAAGTGAATAAAAGTTAATGTTTAATTAGAGGTGCTTATAGATTAGGTCGAGTTTGAGTATAATCTTGTTGGATCCATGTTTATAAAAGCCAAACTGAAGACAATAACAACCGATTGTCGATTACATAATATTTTATTATTAAAATATTTTTATATTAACATTTTAAAATTATATAATTTTTAAAAAAATTCTTATTTAAAAATTTAAATAAATTTTTATTTTTTATTATATTTAATTAAATCTTTATATATTTATTGAGTCAAATAAATATTTATTATTAATGATTAGTTAATAATCATGAGTCAAAATGATATTATTTATTATTTTATATTCGTATAACGTTGACATGATATCAATACGAAGAGTGAAATGTCACATTATTGTGTTACCATGCTACATCATCATACATTACAACGTATTAATATCTTACATTAGCATCA